CCTCTCCACTCCATTGGCCCGCTCCGAGGCGACGAGCGGGTTGAGGGCTCAGGGTGTCCAAGTCCCTTGCGGCGCGGCGCGGCCCTGGGTGGAGCTGAAAGAGCCCTGATTAGCTTTATTCGAGGAGAGAGCTGTTACATGTTGAGAGACCGGAGTTGGAAAGAAGTGAAGAAAGGGAGGAAGTGAGGCGGATGAGAGCTGAGAGTAATAATGTGCTCGTGGAAAATATTTAGTGTATGAAATGATGCACGAGAAGATTTGTGAGAAGGTTCGTAAAATTTTTTAACCATGGTATTCACAGTCATGAAATGCGAACATTGAATGCACTGGTAATTGAACGACGAATGGTTCTATCCTGATGCATGCACAAAAAATTGAGGAAATTTTGTGTGTAAATTTGTCTGTCACAGACAAAATCGTGTTTGCGCGGCGCAGTACATCCGACGTTTCAAAGACCAAACGTAACATTCGCTACGGAAAACAATACTGAGAATCTAACTAGGCAGATCAGTTTTTTCTAAAGCATGCGTTTTGGTCTAAACCCCTAGCTTTCTTTCCTCATATTTTGTAGTTAGTAGATTGTAGTAAACTTCAGTTATAATTATAAAAGTTGATGTCCAGATTGCAAGTATTTATTCTTTTTCGTAATATTGAAGGGATAACAGAGATTAACGAGCATGATGTAAGTAGACAACGCTTAGTATGCAAGTAACTACGGTGATAACTTTACTATTAAAGAGACTAGTGAAATAGAACTATATAGCGTATACTCAACGTTTATTAATTCACATATCTTTTCCTTTAAAGAGAATTTTCGTAAGGTAAGAAAAAGTAGTTTCGAAACTAAATGTGGTAAATTTGATAATTTCAATCGTAAAGTCGCAAATGAACTCTCAATATCTGAATATAACGTGATCCTTCACCCTCGTCATTGTTTCCAAGACGGACATTGTATGAAGCCCACAACGTTTGCAAAATTGTCTAGAACGCGGCCGCAGTAGGGGATCCAGACGGGAGGAAGGCATGGGGGCCGCACCTCCCATGTGAGCCCATGTGAATATGAAAAGGCCGTTATTTTAGAAACTCCAATTTTATTTACATAGATTAATTAAAATTCAACATTATTTGCGATTTTGCTATTTACATGTACAAATGCTGTATGTTGCCAAAATAAAAAAGGATCCTAATTATAATTATTAATAAAGAAATATAAGTGGAATCTCTTGTAAAATTTGATAAAGGAAATCTATGCACTCGAGGGTTTTGTGTGAAACAGTTCCTTAAATGCATTAATTGAATGTTAGAGCCGCTGCGTAAATTAGATTCAGTTGAATATTTTTTCACCAACTCTTCATCAACCTAACAAAAGTATTTAAAATAGCGTAAATCTGAATATATACTTGGAGTTTAACAACACACTTCAATCTTTTGCAAACTTCCGTGAACTCCCTGGTGCGAAACTTCCGGGAATTCGTTAAACTGTAACTAAGCAGAACCTGAACCTCTAGATCCACCTGCGTCAGTAATGCCGCGCTCCCTCTGAGCTCTTTTTAGCAATTAATTTTCTCTCCGCTCTATACTCTTCAGAGCCTGAATAAAACTGTGGAAGTGCATGCGTAATGACTTCGATGACACGTGCCTTTTCATGGAAAAAGACTATAGATGTACCATTTACAAAACAACTTGAGGGCGGCAGTTCTCCCTTCTCTCTCTCGCTGTCGGCGGGATTCAAACCTGCAATCTTCTGGTCCGAGACCGCTACTGCACTAGTACTTTAGCGATCTCGCCCATCTGATCGGTCAATGTAATGCATTATTATTATTATTATTATTATTATTATTATTATTATTATTATTATTATTATTATTATTATTATTATTATTACCACTACTACTACTACTACTACTACTACTACTACTACTACTACTACTACTACTACTACTATAATGATGATGAAAGGCAGTCATTAAAACAGTATGTTTAAAATTTACGTCTGAATATTTGTCTAGAATCCAACAACAGATTTCAATCTCTTCGGAGAACTCCCCAGCCCCAAACTTCCGGGAATTCGTTAAACCGTACCTGAGCGGTACCTGTGCCTCCAGATCCCCCTCTGCCAGGAGCCCCCCGCGCCTCAGCCGTGGCCACCCACGCGCGCCTAATTCCTCTCGAGCGGAGGCTGACGCGGCGCTCCAATGCCTCCCCCCTCCCCCACCCCCGCATCCGGGATTACCTCTTCTTTGCACTGTCACTCTGCCATTTATTTACGTTGCTTCTTTTTGGTCTGCGCGGCGGAGATTCCCGCTGGCATTATGAGTTTCCCGGAGCGCACGTGTTGAGTTACGATAAAATAGGCAATATTTTTGTCAGCAAGCTGTCCGATCTGTGTATATATTTTTTTGGCGTGTTGTATTTAGAAAGCAATTAACTGTTAATTTATCCTCGGTGCACTTTATTTCGCTAATTATACTGATTTATTTAGATAGTTAAACTTTAATTGTGAATATATTGACTTACTTGTGAATTAATTCCATTTGTCACTTCAACTGGGATAAAATGAGAAAGGGTAAATAGAATATCGAATACGTCAGTCAGTCAATTAGAAATTCACACTATGACAAAATTTCGGTAAATATGTTAAAAATCAACGTTATTGGTTATTCTTAATGTAGTATTTTATTTTCTCCTTTGGAAAGTAAAGTACCTCACGCAACATCGTTTGTTTATCGGATCATGTACTTGTTACTATTTATTAATTATATGTTTTATAAAAATATATTTTTATCTCTCTAATATTAAAACTAATTTCAGAAGGGGCAACCAGACAAAATTATTATTATTATTATTATTATTATTATTATTATTATTATTATTATTATTATTATTATTAAAATAATTACTATTATTACTAGCATCATCTTTCTATACATTTTTCCATTGTCACAATTAACATGTAAATAAAATCCCTGTACAAATTTAAATAAAAATCATATCGTGAGTAGGGAGTGTGCTTGTTCCGAGTGCTCCGCTGGTGAGAGATATGTGAATGGGGAAAACACCACAAGCTGCCGTGTAGGTCGGCGCCAGATCTCACAATCCAACTGGGAAAGAACACTACCACCACTCGTAGTAAATGACTAACGACTATAATGAATGACAAGTGACTAATGGACTAATGACCATAGTCGTTGACACGCCCAGAAACACGGAATATAATTAACCCATTATGTGAATAGTATTTCTGTTGCAGCAGGCCATTAGTGTGGCTAGAGTTATCGAAAACAAAATTGTATGCTACCCTTCTTTGTCCAGCGAAGCAATTGCGCAACCCTTATTAGGCGAAAGCACTGCAGTTTACCGTGAATCTCTCTGTCGTGTGTGTCGCAGAGGACGCCGGCGAAAGCAGGGACGGCGGCGCGGGCGCTAGCCCTGGCGGCGGCGGCGGCGGCGGCGGCGGCGGCGGGGGCGGGGCGTGCGCGGACAACCGCGGCGGCTGCGAGCACGTGTGCGAGGAGAAGGACGGCCGGCCGCACTGCTCCTGCTACCCTGGCTTCTTCGCCAAGGGCAGCTCCTGCCACGGTGAGTGAGCCGGGCCTTTCACGCATCTTGCCATCAATTTTGTTTCCAGGACCCGACTTAGGATCTGGTAGCCCCCCCCCCTATCCAAGCACAAAAATTTGTTTACTACACCCCTCCGGGAAACATGATCCAGATTCTTTTAAAAACGAGAAGAAAAAAATGATTTTTTGATAAAACTTTTTTGTGCAGTAAATTATTTTATTAAACATTATTTTACAGATTCAAACTTCTTTTTTATTATTTCGAATACTTTATGGTCTTTGTTTCGGGACGATGGACTACCATGGATAAAATAAGAATAAACGAGTGGCTTACAGAATGGCACAGACTTTCCCGTATTAGTTTTCTATTTCCATTGGTCTCGGCTAGCTATTCGGACTTGTCACATAATCTTGACAGCTGCCATCTATCACCACCCAAAGTATTTTTTTTTTTAAGTTTTCTTAATTTTTTTGATTTCCTAGTAGGAGAATCGAATTATTACTTTAAAAATATTAAAGAATAGTTAAACCTATGGCAATATTCATTGAACAATTTGGAGCCGTTTTTAAGAAAATGGCATTTAAGAGCTACTGTAAATTCTAAATTTGAACTTCTTTTCACAGAAAACTATTGAGTTTTCTTAAACTCATACTTCATAACTAACTTTATATGACGTGGCCCTTAACTATGGACGTTTCCGTGTGTCTCTTCTGTCTCAGGTGCCATTTTAGGAACAGCAGCAACCTACTAACTTTGCAATTTTAATTCTTACACAATCTCTTGCCCAAATACTAATATGATACTTTGATATTCTAAATTCATAATTTTTACAACAATTTGCCAGTCCTGCCTGCCTAAATGTTATTTCCAAAGATCATACAAGATGATAGATTGTTTTGTTCTTTGAAAGAGTGAAGTATTACGATTCCAATCTCTATCTTAAAGAAGGTATTTTATAAGTTAACATATCTTATAATAAGGAATTTCTTATACAAATTTCATAAAAGTATTCGAAAATTGTTTTGTTTCCGTGCTTTCATTTTGCTGTAATAGAAGTCATTTCCTTTTTATTACTTTATTTGCTCATTGTTATCGCTTGTAGTATTAAAAAGTTTCTATGACCTTTGTATAGGTGTAGGTATATATTGTATTGGTATAGTTTGCTTGAAACACCGACATTCTCTAGTTTGCATATACCTCCTTAAAATGATCTAGTTATCAATAATGTTCATATTATTGCAAGTTGTAACTTGGCTAATGATGTTTGCATAAAGTAAATAGCATGTTGAAAGTGTTTGAAACCGTTAAATATCCACTTAAGTTTCGACTCGACATGTAAACGAATTCCTACAGAGAAATTTTGCTTCACTGCCCTTTAAATCCGTGATTCCATTTAATGGGTTGGGAGAATATCATGACCCACTTAGGAATCGTATGATGCTCATCAAAGTGAGACCAAACTTCATTGCTGAAATTATACCGCAGTACGTCATTCAGCCCACATTTCATATTAACAACCCGTAAGTGATACCATTACGCAGCGCCCTGAAGGCAAAGGCAGCCGTGTAACATCGTAAATACAGATTTGCGTATTCATTACGCCGTACGCTTTACGTATAGCCGTTATTATTATTATTATTATTATTATTATTATTATTATTATTATTATTATTATTATTATTATTGTCGTTGTTCTTGTTATTACTATTATACGCAATAAATTATTTGTGAATCACTTTTATATTTTGATATTCTAAAGGAAAGTAAAACATCTACAGGTATCATTTAAAGCCAATGAGAACAGATCACTTATCAAAAACTGAATATTCTTTACTACGCATTCCGTTTAAAGTTTCGAAAACTCTATTTCAGTATGTCTTGTGTCAGTCTATGCACCGAAAGTGCGTTATATATTTGTAGAAAATGGCGATGTAAATGTGTAAGGGTTAGTGTGAAATATCAAATGAAAGTGATGAAAAATGAGACTGATTGTTATGGAATTTCTGTAACGAAATTGGAAATTATATGAATTCCTATAACAGATTCTCATTCATTTTAGCCTCATTTATGCTTGAGAAAATAAACGAATAACTCCTTTTCTTAACATCTGATGTAACAGCGGCAATACTTATGACCAGTTTTGGGCGTCACGCTCCTAATCAATTTCGCTTTTTAGGTATCCATGTCATTAATAAAATACAGGTTTATCGTTATCAAAATTATTATTTACCAATATAACCGTTATCATTATTAAATTATTATAACAAATGCCAACAAATCAACGGTGAATTACGCTTGTGACTTTATATTATTCTTCGCATTCAGGTTTGTAATATTGGCACTGGAGAAATTGTATTCTAGTATTATGGTTATTACACTGAAGTGAGTGATTACCAAGTGATTATTCCTACAATATATTCCTTCATCCTTCATTTAACTAGCCTGCTTATTAATAAGTATTACTCGTTTTTCTAAATCTCCAAATATATCCATTTATGGCTCTGTAGCTCCTGAATTTACGAGCATTTTCCCAAGAACTCGTAATATCTAGATTGTAAATAATATACCTTTTCTCTTTGTGTGTCTTCTTGATTATATCAAGAAACTAGGAGAATATTTAGCTTTGTGGGTAATTGAAAACTCAATATTTATGCGATTACTTATCAGAGGTATTCTGTTTATCTTGAATTTTTACTTGAAAGGAAATATTTGTTTTGTTAAAGTTATGGTACATTTAGCGTCAGAAGATTAAGAGGGACAACGCGACTCGTGCACGCGTTGCAAAACATTAAAAAAATGTTAATTGCTCGTAGATTTAAATTAGGCACTCCATAACAAAATTTCATAACTGAAATTAACCCCCCAGGCACCATCGAGAGCACATTCGAAATTTACGACCCTGAGCGGCATCCTCCATAACGCAGCGGCCAGAAGGCGCTAACAACGCGGCTATCGCGATTCCTCGGCGCGCCGTTCGTTATCCCGCTATTTGGGCGCCCGTTAACGCTAGCCGCCGCGGCAAAGGCGATCGATGGCATTT